ATGTCTTTTATGTTTCGCAGCTTTTTGATTTTACAATTGATAACATTGTCATATGATTATATCAAAGAGAAATTAAAAGGGTTCTCAGAGAAAAGCATAAAGACTACAAGGAATAAAACGGATATAAATACTAGCTAAACGGAAACCTTAATGGGCTAAAGACAAAAAGGGCCCATAAACAAGCGGGCTAATAATATAGACTAACTTCCCCCTTCAAACTCACAATGCCGCAACAATAAGCATTGAGAGTTTGTCACATAAGAACCGAAACCGAGAAGCCGATAAAGCCTTCGTAAAAATATCCGCAAGCTGCAAAGTTGATGAAACAAAGGGAAGCGAAATGGTCCCAAGCTGCAGATGATGACGAGTAAAATGACAATCAATCTCAATGTACTTTGTCCGCTCATGAAAAACAAAATTCTTTGCAATTTGTATCGCACTTTTATTGTCACAATTCAAGGGAGTAGGTGAAGAAATGTAAACTCCCATATCCACAAGCAGCCATCGTAACCAAATAATCTCGCTTGTAGTTACAGCCATAGCACGATATTCAGCCTCCGTGGAAGATCTAGAGACAACATCCTGTTTCTTGCTCTTCCATGAAATAAGATACTCTCCAAGAAATACACAAAATCCAGTGGTAGACTTATGATCATGACGATCACCATCCCAATCAGCATCACTATAGGCATGTAACAAGAGAAGATGTCGAGGAAAACAAGAGAGTCTGAAACTGAGTGCCACGAAGATATCTCAGAATACGAAGAACAGCTCCCCAATGAACAAAAGTAGGTGCAGTAACAAACTGACTGATAATATAAACAACATGAGCAATATCTGGACGAGTGACTGTGAGATAAACCAAACTTCCCACCACAATACGATAAAGATTCGGATCATACAAAGGAACACCATCAGTTGGAGAGTATCGAGCATTGGTTTCAAGAGGGGTATCGACAGTCTGATTGTCAGAAAGTCCCGCCCGTGTAAACAAGTCATATATATATATATATATATATATATATATATATATATATATATATATATATATATATATAGTCTGGGAAAGAAGGTACCCTTTCTTAGACTGAGCGACCTCAATACCCAAGAAATAACGCAGCAAGCCCAAATCCTTCATAGCAAATCGACGAGCTAGATCATGCTTCAAAGACTCAATACCACAATGGTCATCACCTATAATAATCATGTCATCCACATATAAGGATAGAAGAATCCATCCTGCACTCGAGCATCTAACAAACAGAGCAGAATCGTGATTACTTTAGACAAATCCAAGAGAGGTAATCACTGTGGAGAATTTCTCAAACCAAGCACGAGGGGCTTGCTTGAGCCCATACAAAGCTTTGCGAAGCCGACAAACCTCACCTGGTTGATGTTGAGTTCCTGGAGGAGGGGTCATATAAACCTCTTCATGAAGGTCACCATTCAAAAAGGCATTCATGACATCCATTTGAAAGATCTTCCACTGCTGAATGGATGCAACTACAATCATAGTACGAACTGTCGTCATCTTTGCAACTAGGGCAAATGTATCCTCGTAGTCAAAACCATACTGTTGGGAATACCCTTTTGCTACAAGTCTAGCCTTACATCGTTCAACAGAGCCATTAGCTTTTGTTTTTATCTTGTACACCCAACGACAACCTATCGTATGTTTCCCAGGAGGAAGAGAAACCAAATCCCATGTATGATTCTGATGAAGAGCAGTGAGTTCTTCAGCCATAGCATTCTGCCAAAGAGGATCTGAAACAACTTCTCTATATGATTCACGTTCAGACATATGATGGATGCTTGCTATAAATGAAGCAAACGGTCCTGCATATGTAGAGTAAGAAAAATCTGGTAGCTTGGTGGACTTGACATGAAAAGAAGAGATATTCCTGAATTCAATGAAGTAGGGATACGATTAATCGCATAAACAACAGTTAGGACTGCTTCTCCCCAATAGGCACTAGGGACCTGTGCAGACAGGAGCAAAGAGCGGGTAGTCTTAACAATATGACGATGTTTTCATTCTGCCACACCGTTTTGCTGAGGTGTGTCAATACACGAAGACTGGTGTATGGTACCATCAGAAGAAAGTAACTTAGTGAAATCATTAGAGGTATATTCTCCCCCTAAGTCACACCTGAAGCACTTAATCACAGCCGAATGTTGAGTTTTAACAAGAGCTCTAAAATTGCTGTAAATACCAAAGAAATTAGATTTGCGTTTCATAAGATAAACCCATGTATATCGAGTATAATCATCTATAAAAGATACATAATAGGTTTACCCACCCTATGTGAATACTGGTGCACGAACCCACACATCAGAATGAATAATATCAAAAGGAGCAGTAGAACAAGACATACTTTTATTGAAGGGTAAAGCAGAAAACTTTGCTAGTTTGCAACCACTACAATCAGAAATATCACAAGAGTTTAAATGACACCAAAACACCACCAGATGCTAAGAAATTCATCCGTGATACAGACACATGTCCCAAACGAGAATGCCAAAGATAAAACTCAGACGACAAAGGACTCAAACGAAAAGAAGATAAATCAATGCTGGAAGCAGCAACAACAAATACTTTGAGGACCTCCAAGACATATAGTTCCCCCACCCTACGGCCGATCCCAATCACCTTCTGGGTGTGTTGATCCTGATTAACACAGCCATAATCAGAAAAGAACACCCAGTTACCAGACTTGCATAACTGACTGACTGAGGCAAGGTTCACAGTAAGTTTGGGAATGTAATAAACATCATGAAGAGTTATATGAGAAACGGAGACAGACCCAACGCCCTCAACTAGCATGGATGTATCACTAGCAGACTTAACAGAAATGGATGACACTTGCGAAAAAGAAGTAAATGATGACAAATGAGGAGTCATATGATGGGTTGCACCAGAATCTAAAATCCACAAAGATGAGGGAATACCTGAAGTGTCAAATGAAGAAGGACCAGAGTGAGACATAGATGCAGACATGGCAGTGGGATTAGAAGCCAAATATTGTCTAAAGCTCTCAAACACCTTGGGATCCAATGCAGATGGTGACATATGTCTAACAGATTCCGTGTCAACTGGTGGAACCGCATCAACAAAGTGTGGAGGACGAGGGGTCCATGGAGGAGTACTAGAGGAACGAGACTGGTGCTTTTGTTGACCAGACCTATTTTGTTTCCCTGACTGAGATTGACCAGATTTACCCTTGTTGACTAACAATGGACACTGAGCTTTCCAATGATTCTTCTGTTTGAAGAATGCAAACTCATCATAAGCGACTCTTGAAGGTTGTCGAGATTAACTGGAGGAGACAACAAGCACAACAGGAGCGAGAGTATGAGTAGAGGTTGCTTTAAACCCTTTATCTACATGGGACTTGATACAAGTCTCTTCTACAATTAACTCATGGACAACTGAATCAACTGAAGGAAGAGGAGAGCGATGAAGAATTGTTCCACGAAGACCTTCAAAATCAGAAAGCAAGGCCATCAAGAACTGAACCAAGCGTTGTTCTTCCCTCCTAGCAATGTAAGGCTCAAAATCTTTTAACTCTTTAGATTCAGTAAGAGCCGATTGATCCCAGATATCAGACATAGCAGCATAGAAATCTTGAATGCTCTGGTCATTATGTTGAAGGGCATGAATATCATATTCCAATTAGTATTGTTTAATAAAATTGGACTGAGTATACAGTCTCTCCAAGTGATTCCAAACTTCCTTTGCTGTATCATACTTAGCCAACTGCATACCAATGAACTGAGTAACAGAGTTATTGATCCAAGTAATAACCTTGGAGTTATCAGTCTCCCAAGCATCAAGCAACATATCAAAATTCTCAGTTTGAGGCACTGAGGGTTTGGCTTTAGTCCCAGTGATATAGCCCGACATATTCTTCCCACGAAGGAAGTTCTTCATAACGTAACTCCAATACGTATAATTCTTTCCATCCAAACGAGTATTGATTGACTGAAGGGAATCATCATTTCCAGTCATGTTGATAGTGAATGAATAACCACAATGACAATATAATAATCTGAGAATGAAAGGAGTAACAAACCAGCGGAAGCAATCGAAGCAATTATGAACTAACAATAGCAACGAACGAATAGTAGCAACGAATAGACAGTAGCAACGAACCGACAACAACAACGAATCAACAGCATCAACAAATCAACAGTAGCAACGAATCAACATATCAAAAAAGACAAATACCAGTGATAATGAACGAAAATCGCGCCACAGTTGACTGCTACAAAGACTTCTAACAACGTATCAAACCTCAGCTCTGATACCATGATTTCATTGTCATATGATTATATCAAAGAGAAATTACAAGGGTTCTCAGAGAAAAGCATAAAGACTACAAGGAATAGAGCGGATATAAATACTAGCTAGACAGAAACCCTAATGGGCTAAAGACAAAAAGGGCCCATAAATAAGCGGGCTAATAATATAGACTAACAACAATATCATGTATCTTTTTTGCATAAAATTATGAAATTTGCAAACTTTTCTTTATACTTGACGTTTATCAGGTAAACATTGTGTTGGTTGATTACCATGCCATTGCCACGTAACATGGCACGTGAGCGCTAACTAGGCTTTTTTGCAGTTTCTACTTTTGCCTTTCAACGTATTTTTCTTTTTCATTTTGAGGTACGTAAAAAAGAAAAATTAATGTAAGGACCAAAGAAGCGGAGTATCACCAATATCCAGAGGAATATCTTATTGACGTTACATTATTTGTACCCTATAAGATGTAACAATCCAAAAATCCTTTAATCGCTATGTTGTTGCAAGTGATCGAGATTATGGTTTATGTAGTTGGTTACTTGATTTTTCGTTTAAATACTGAATACATCAAACCTAGATTTAAATGAGATGAGTGTTAGGGTAATTGTTGTAGAATCCTGTAATCAATCGGAATTGGATTAGGGTGCAAGGGAGATTTGTCATAACGATGTAAATTTCAGATAAAGCCGATTTGCCTACATGAGTTGCTTTGTTTTCCTCATAGATGGAATAGAATGTTAAAATTTTAGTGTATAAATCTTATGAATTTATTCTCTTTGAACATCACATAAGTTCATTAATATATTTGCTACATAACATAAGTTCATCAAAGCAAAGCACCCTTTAACAATTACAACCTAAATCTTCTTGTAGAATTCCATAATCGAATAGAAACTAACACTGCAAACAATTTTTGAAGAAACAAATCCCGATTCTATAGCCAATGCCTCGTATTCTTTAACTGTCCTCTCTTTCCCACCAGGGTTTATAGCCAACATCACCATATCACCATCAAGATTAGACATAACAACATCGGTTTCACCATTATTATTTGTTGGTTGTTCATCTGGGACAATAGTTTCTAATACCACCACCTTACCATCCTCTGGCAATGCCATCCAACAGTTTTTCAATAACTTCATGCAGTAATCATCACCCCAATCATGTAATATCCACTGTAATTTGTCATGCATAGTTATTTATTCCAATATGTATATGTATATATTAAAGTGCAAAATAATATTTTTTTTGATGTATACATGCACTGACCTTCATGAAGATCACATCTCCCTTTGGAACACTCTGAAACATGTCTCCACCAACATGTTCCACTCCTATTAGCATCAAGAAAGCATATTTAATGTATATTTTTAGATGCCCAATTTAAGGAAATAGATTCTGATTTTTAATTACCTGGACAAATTAGAGGTGCATCTTTGATGACATGGGGCATATCAAAGTTGATGCCTTTAATGTTAGGGTATTTGGAAAGAATAATCCCAAGTGTTGCTCCTAAACCACCACCCACATCCACTAGTTTTTCCACCCCTGAGAATCCCTTGTACTTTTCAAGAACCATTTTCATGAGTATAACAGTGTTCCCAAACATAGCTTTGTCGAAAAGTTTACCAAATCTTTTGTCTTTTGCTTGGTATTCGAATATATTCTCCCCATGGGCCTTGTTGAATGGGGTTCCTCCTTCAAGCACTGCATCCTTTAAGTGATGCCAAGAATCAGTGACAACTTTGTCATTTTGGAATAGAAAGAAGTTAGCAAAAGAACCCCCTTCTTCATTGCTAACAAAATACTTGCATATTGGTGTCATGGCATATAATTTCTTAGTGACTCCGTTTTCATCAGTGAAGAATTTAGATGTAAGAATCGATTTGGTAGCAAGATACCGAAGTATTCTTTCGGTTATGATTGGGGTTTGTGGGGTTTGTGTAGGAAGACACGAAACAATATCTGATGAAGTGAATTGACCACAATGATCATGGTTAGTAAGTTTAACCATGATTTCAAAAAAATCAAGTTCTATAGCAGTTTTCATGACCATAGGAAGAACAGTTCCTGCTACCATTTGCATAACTCTTAGTAATTCTTCCTCTTCGTTCATGTTTGTGTTCATCATTAAATCTTTGTTCTTTGAAATGTGAGCCTCCAAATTATGGTAGTGTATATATATTAAATAGTTTCTTGATCCATACCTTTTGTTTTTAGCCTAACTTAAACAACCTGTATATATGCCTTCTTTAACCAAACCATAGGCTTTGTGTGAACTCAACCTAATTTTGAAGATTTGCAGACAAATTGAATATTTTTTCACAACATAGAGGGGGTAAAATCTAAAAATGGTTAAAATGGACAAAATTTGCCTAAAAAGACCACATCCTTGGTGTGGGTCGGACCTTCCATCCCACTAACCTTAAGATTATGTATTTAGTATAATTATAAAAGGTAATTTAGCAAGTTGAAGTTTATAAATGATGCTAGAGGAAGTATAACGTTAATTAGCTTGTCACAACTTTTGTAAAGAAAATGTAAACTTTTGTAAAGAAAATGTAAACTTTTGTTAGTGAAGTTTTGCTTTTCATAGTTTCTTACTTTTATAGTTTAATTGTTTAAATGTTGATGTCATAAATGAGTAACCAACTATTTGAGATGTTTAAAAACACAAACTTCATGTTTTAAAAAAAAAGGTACAATCAAAGTATTATGAGAAGGTAAACTATTTGAGATGTTTAAAAACACCTTTACAATCAAAAGTTAAGCATTTTTGTAGAATTCCATGATAGAAAACATAGAAACCCTAGAAACAATTTTTAAAGAAGTGAATCCAGCCTCTTTCGCCAAAGCATTGTATTCTTTTATAGTCCGCTCTTTGCCACCAGGGTTCGCAATCAACATTATCATATCACTACCAATGGCCGCCTTAGAAACATCATTCTTGGTAGTATCATCGTCGGGGATGATCGCTTCCACCACCACCACTTTACCGGACTCTAGCAACGCCGCCCAACAGTTCTTTAGAACCGTGATGCAATAACTGTCACCCCAGTCATGAAGTATCCACTAAAAAACAAAATTCATCTCGGTTATTTAATATATGAAAAAAAATCATTTATACCAAAGTTTATTAATAAAAAAATTGATGTATGTCTGTATGATGTATCAAAAACCTTCATGAAAATAACATCTCCTTTAGGAACACTTTGGAACATATCTCCCCCGACATGCTCCACACCTACAGTACCAAAAGATTTAGGTACAAAAACAATTGTTAGGGATGGAAATGGTCAAAAATAAAATTCTAGGGGACCATATCTGTGAAAGTCAAGAAACCACAGGGATGAAAATGTAATTAACTGATACCTGGAGAAGAAGGTGCATCCTTGATAACATGGGGGAGATCAAAGTTGATGCCCTTAATAGTAGGGTACTTTGAGACGATGATCTCAAGGTTAGCACCTAAACCACCACCAACATCAACCAACTGTTTGACGCCTTCAAATCCTTTGTACTTTCCAAGAATCATCTTCATGACTATTGTTGTGTTGTCATACATGCATTTGTTGAATACTTGATTGAATCTGTTGTCCATGGAAGGGTACTCAAATGCATTCACTCCATGGGCCTTGTTAAATGGAATCCCTCCCTCCACCACTGCATCTTTCAGGTGAAACCTGTCCCAAATCATATCATTAGTTATATGTAACATTCAAACACACAAACACTGAACTAAACACAATCATTAATTTTATGCATATTGGAAAGTAACAAACAAATTATAAATAGGTTAAAAGAAGATAAAGGTAAAGTAATCGTCAAATACCAAAAGATAAAGGTAAATTTATCTAACAACTAAATATATGATTTTATAAAGATAGAAAACTAACCAGCAATCGATGAGGATTTTATCATAGATAAGGAGAACCGTTGAAGCATGAGAAGTCCCGTCTGGATTGCGCACATAGTTATTTGACAATGGCGTCATGCCATATAAATTCTTAGAATTCCCACTTTCATCTGTAACGAGAGTTGATGTGAGAATGGATTGGCTAGCAAGAAATCGAAGGAGTCGCTCAATTAAACCAGGGGTTTCTGGGGTTTTTGTAGGAAGACTAGAAGCAAGATCAAGAGAAGAGAATTGGCCATTAGGAGTCTTTGCCATGATCTCAAACAGATCAAGTTCAATGGCAGTTTTGATGACCATGGGAAGAGCTATTGCCCCATTTATTTGCATCACTTTTATCAGCCCTTCCTCTTCAGTTGACATGCTGTAATCTTCTTCTAATGACTCCATGATCGATCAGTCTTTCCTTTGCTTTGCTATGAATGAGAACCTATACACACACAAACATATATATACACACATGCACAAATATTCTTTCCAACTGTCGTACACATGGGTATGGACCTACTTCTAACTTAACAATGGGTATATAATTAGGTTCATGAAAAAAATTTCCTTTTTGGTGTTATAGAGAACTTTTAAGTTTAACGATGATGAATTAATACCGATCACAATTTAATATTGTAACAATATTATAACTAATAAACAACTATTAACGATGATGAATACTCAGATTTTTTTTTTTTTTTTTTTTTTTTTTTTTTTTTGTCACAATAAGGCAAATCGAAGTTAAAAATCTTTTCTGTGGTCGTTTGAGTATTTTTTTTTAAAGTTAGTGTTATATATATATATATATATATATATATATATATATATATATATATATATATATATATATATATATATATATATATATATATATATTAACAACAATGTTTGTAACTTTGTATTTATATACTAGGATCGTTTTGTTGTACGTAAATATTCGGTGGAGCTAGTAAGTGAGTGAGACAATCGCCAATTGGTGCCTAAAAGGAGAAGAGGGGCTGTTTGCCTGTTCCCATTTTGATATTATCAAAGTCAAAATAATAAGATAAACATTGTCTTTTAGAACAGAGTAAATTACACGAAATGGTCCCTATGATTTAGGGTAATTGCACGTTTCGTCTTTAATTCTTTTTTTTTTTTTTAATTTAGAAGTTATTGATTTTTTGTTTTTGTTACATGTTTGGTTCCTATCTTATTTAAAAATATTATTTTACCATTGATTTTTTAAATTATTTAAATAAACACACTTCAACCCCACCCCTTCACCTTATCTTACATATCTCATCATTTTTTCTTATTTAAATAATAGTTTTTTTAGATAAGACGGTGACCAATCACATAACAAAAACAAACAGTAGGGATCAAATGCGTAACAAAAACAAACAGTAGGAATTTTTCAAGTTAAAAAATAAACTAAGAACCCAATGTGTAAATTACCCCCAACCATAAGGACCATTCGTATAATTTACTCTTTAGAATATAAATAAATAAATAAAGATTATACTTGATTTATGAAGCGACCTTTCAACCGGTTGGTGTTTTCAGCCGGTTGGTGTTGACTATGTAAAAGAATTAAGAAATCAAATGATGATGCTTTGGTGGGTCTATGGAAACGTGCATTTCACTAACCACGTCTTATTTATTTATTTTAAGAATGGAATCTCATGTTAGACCAAAAACGAAGTCTTATTATTTTTATTTTTATTTTAAGAATGGCATCTCATGTTAGACCAAAGACAAAGAGATGTCAGATAACCATATTTCATCCTTACGAAAAAAAAAAAAACTAAATGACCACTGAATTTGAAAATATGAATTTTCCAATCTTTTTGTTATTTTTGAACTCTAGCTTTCTACAAAAATAATAATAATAATAATAAATAAGAAAAATTGTTTTCTCTGAATTTTTGAATTTCATGATGAGTTTCAACCCGATTTATGATAAAGGTAATTTGCAATTCCGAGCAATTTTAACATTACTTGATAGATAAACAAATAAAGACAAGTACATAAATGTTTTATTATAGTTTTCTGTACCATCTTCTTTGGTTCTTTTCTAGTATGTCCTCCAAGGATAATACAAGTGTCCGGTTTTCTAAAGAGTAAAGAGGGCTAAATGCAAGAAATAACAATGCATTTCCATTTATTTGTGTGTTATAGCATCTTAGTTTTCATTTTCTTTATGTTACAACATTGTATGTTTATCTTTTATCTCATTAATGCATGGTACTCTGAAAATTTTACTTAATTATAGCATTCTACTAGTATCATCAAAAAAATTTTCTTATTAGAACTTTATATTTTGAAAAAACTACTCAATACTAACCATGAAAATTGATTTGTATTTGAATAGAGTTGATATAATCAGGTAGATTTTCATGTATTGTTATGTAATTGGAAGAAATGGAAATAAGATATTATAATGAACAACTTACAAAAGTATGATGCTATTTCTTGCATCTAACACTAAAGATTCATATGCCTATAATTAATAGGGAAAATATCACTGTAGCCCCACGAACTTTCACATTTTGGTTTAAAAGGTCCCTATTGTTATTTTTTGGCTTTATAAGGGCATGAATTCTCTTTTTACCGGCTTTTAAGGCTATTTTCTAGAAAGTGAAGGGGTCATCCGGTCACCCCTTTCACAATCAGCCAATTATCTTGTACACATCATTAAAAAAAGCCAACTTATTTGCCAGATCAGATGCCACCTAATGTATACGAACAAGAGAGCACGAAATTGAAGGATAACAACCATGTGGAATCCATCGCCATTATCATCACTTCCCCTCAAAATAGCATTCGTCATTTCTTTCTTTCTTTCTCATTGCTTCTTCTTCATCTTACTCTCCCCCAACCCCCAACCCCCATTATCATTCCATATCAATTCCGAAAGTCAACTCCAAGAAACAATGACCACTGCCACCACTAGAGACATACTCACACTCTTTGGCACACCTCAGCAGGCTGCATCCATTGACACCCAATTGAGAATCTGAGATAAGTCAAGTATCCAACAACGAACCCATTCGTCCAAATCGATTAAACACAACACCAATTCCGAGTCGAACGCTCGCAGGTAGCATAATTTTGACTTTCCCATTGACCCGTAAGAACATCTGTTCAATTTCCAATGGCAGATGAAAGTTGTGCTTCTGATATTTGTACTTCAAATCCGATTACACCGTTCACAGATCAATAATTTCAATTTTGACCTTTTTAGTTTG